AATAGACTATCTCCGAGCGCTGAGTTCGAAGACAGTGAAATAAGTCCCGACATGCCGTCAACTAGTGGCGTCATTTCGCTTCAAGACATAGAAAACGTTTGTTTGCCTGCAGCATGCTGGTGGAAAGTTGTTGAGAATGGCGAGACAAGTCGTCTTGTGGTGTTTCTAGTGCTAAAAAAAACGCCATTTGTAGAGAAATGTGTTGTCGCAGAAGACATGATAGTCACCATTATCAGCCGTCACCATCGCTTGGCCAAGTCGCCCGGCAATGCATATACCATCACCGTATTGGCCGAACGTCTGGGGGACATAGAAAACCTGACAGTGTATTCATGTTGTCCCAGTGCGTCAGCAGGCAGACTCGTTAGTAATGAGTACGAAGTGCTCACCGATACCCCAAAGTGCGGTCTCTGTTCGAAGCTTTGGCTGAAGCTGTGTTAACAGGTTTCATTAGAGGAACTCAAAAAGAAGCAAAGAGAAGACGTGCTCAAGATAATGGCCGCGCACGCGTAAATTTTCGACGTTCTAAGTTGCTAAAGAATGTGACTGACGTGGAAAAAAAATAAGCTGTTTACATAACCAGACAAAAGCCACGAGATTGTGCCATATAGTAATTTATTTTCGAGCACGAAAAACACAGGCACAAGAGACGATGCAAGACATTGTAATTGGGTTTTTCGCGTCTAAAAATCTATTGCGAACGTACACCAACTAGCTACTAACCGAAAGATTCGTGTATGTTATGCTATATATATATCAAGCATTGTTTATTGTGGGCTGTTCAGAAAGCCATATTTATACTATTTTTGCCTTACACTGCCAAATATTACGCAGTATTAAGTTTATGCGGCCGCACAACAAATCTCGATAATATACTGTTGGCAAAGCTCTTTCAGAACGGCCGCCCCGGCATCTTGCCCCGACGACTACGCGTTTTCGTCTGCTAGCGGAAGCTTATTGTGCCGCCAGGGCCACCAAACCGGAAGCTGTTCCGGCGCCGTGTGCCGAGCAAGGAGGATACATAAAACTTGCTGGAGTGGAAGCCGCCTATGCGCCGCTACGGGAGAGAGTGAAGCCGCGCTGAGCGTGCGGCGGCCATGTTGCCAGTGGCAGAAAAGAGCCGAGTGCTGCAAATTTATGCTTCATCGCGCTGCGGGTGAAGTGACTCGTGTGTTTATAAAGCAACGTAAACAAGTCATTCTGGTTGTAAATGTTTATTGCGACTTGTACGCAGCCAAGTGGCATGTAGAGAACTCAATTAAAGTGCATATGCATCAAATAGCGATGCCTAAAGCAAACACATCATCGAAAACATAGCTGACCTACTGGTGGTTGAAAATTATTGCCCTTGTCAAAAGTGGTCCCACCATACTTTTGACCGATTCTCGTTTTTTTTTTTCCTGCGTCATGTGTTGTATCCTCACTTTTACGGATTGTTCGGCGATTTGCCTGCACAAACTGTAAACCTGATTATCAAGCGTATAAAAGTCTAGGACGTGCTGCTCAAGTTTATGGAACCAGTTTTTCTCGGAGGAAGCTCATGGAACTTTCAGGATGAGGTGTTTTGCTCTTGACTTCACCGTTGTGATAGAATCACATTCAGCCTCTAGCCGCCTCAGTCCTCGACTTCTTTACAGAGGCTAATGACATCTCGCGACGGTGAAACAAGACCACCTCGCCTCTTACATTTAACTAAAGGTGTCAGCTCATCTTAGTGCATGGCTGCTATGCACTCTTCACAGGTAGTTGCAGTTCGACCTTTCTAACAATGAAGCCTGCTATGTATGGCACCACGAAACTGACAAAAGCAGAAAAACTTTGGGGCTATTAAATGCGGTGCGTATTGTCGTGGTCATCGAGCTGCAGGACTGGGGCCTTGCGCATGTCAGTGAGATTGCTTCTTGGATCTACCATGGCTGCAGGAGTCGTTGCATTCAATACGGAGAGAACATCTTGGGAGCTGTCTCCAGAACTTCAAGACGTGACTCCGTCTGAACCAATAGACGCTTGTATGCAGCCATAAACTGCGAAGCTGTTGGGTTGTTGTTATGGCCGCCTTATCCACGTATTTATTCAAAGAAGTTTTCGGCATAGTCTTGACTGAGTGTGTCAATGAGTATTTCAGCTGACCCTGGCTGACAAGTCTGTCAAACATTCTTTCCGTGCTTGCCGTGCGTATCCAAAAACCAATGAATCCGTTTTTTTTTTCAGTCCTTCTGTCACTGCCGGATCTCTCAGACCGTTTATGTACGCTCGAGTCTCCGCGAAAAAAAAAAGACTTCCAGAATGCTTCGTTCCCCTGCCGAAGGGGCGCTTTGCAGGACCTTGCCAGCGGGTTCGTGGAGTTTAAAATGTCAAACAAGCGATCAAAAGTTCTAATAAACGTAGATCTTGTGCTTGCACCCTTGAATTGCGGTAGCTTTAGCTTTTGTTCGCAGAAGTCTAAAGCGTCGGCAACTGAAGCACTCAATCAGTTGTACAGCAAATCATACCTTAATTTTCTTGCTTTTCCCATTAGACGTGAACTTTTGCAAGTTTGTTTCTGAACCACAACCCTTATTCACGTTGAAGTACCTTCAATGCCACTTCATAACCCCATTTCACATGCTTCCCTTCAATGTCAAACTGGTGGAAGCACTCCGGCGTGAAGTGCACAGAGCGAAGTGATCTCAGTCTTTCGCATTCTACTTCTCACGGCGAACGGCCCACTCCCAGAGGCTCCGCGTTACGGGATCTTTAGGAAACCTGTAAAACAAATCCGGACTGTTATAAACTGGTAGGTGTTCTGTGCTGTTATGGTATGTTATCGCGTCAGCTATAGCTCCCTTCAGTAACGAGCGCGGAATGGCTATGTCGAAGACGTTTTCGTGTACGTACAGGTGGAATGCGAGGCCACAATTTTTTTTCAACCTGTCGGCACATCCGTAAACGACGCAAGAGGCAATCATTGTAAACCATTTGTCTTTACATGCCGACAAGGTGAAACAAAAACGGACGAAATCAGCAGCTTGCGATGGCGCTGAGCACGCTTTTTGCCACTGGCAAGGTGGCGGCAGCTGGCTTCACTCGCACAGCGCCCCTTCCACTCCAGCAAGTTTTCTGTATCCTCCTTGGTGCTGAGTAGTGTGACTTGGGCAGTTTTGCAACTTACCTAGTCTAGAAACGTTGGGCCGTCCGCGAGTGATCCGGCATAGAGTTTCTCAAGATTAACTAGAGGGCACTCTGGCGCTGCGATCGTTTAGCGACCGTGGGAATGATAGGTAGTACACACATTTGCCTAGTCTTCGTACTTGCGGGCGGTGAATCGTACTTGCGGCTTCGTTTAATGCTGTGTTTCGGTTTTGTTTTGAAAGAAAGATTCAACCCTTTTGAACTTCGTGACCCAATTTGGAAAGGTAATTAAAAAAAATAGGGCAGTGAAGCGCAATTGCTAAACATTTGCTGATTTTTGTTTCGTGAGAAAACAGCTTTAAGCCACACGAACACACACGGAGCCAAAAGCAGGCCAGAAGTACGAAGTTTAGACAAATGTGTGTACTACCCATCATTCCCATGCTCACTGAAGTGCCGCCGTGCGTTACAGCTCCCATAGACACTAGTGCCAGAGTTCCCTCTAGTGTATATTGGGAAACTCTATGTGATCCGGGACTTGGCAAATCGATGAAGCTCACTGACTGGCATCTAAAAATAGAGGAGGCGCTGGCTCGGTGTTTTCGCGGACACAGCAGCAGTGACACCTTGTGCCTTTCTAGCGTTCAGGTGTGCGCGCTGTTGAAGAGAGCGAATAAGCAGCCTGGCAAATATAGAAAAGGGCGTGCGTACGCAGTGCTAGCTCTCTAGCTTCGCAGGCAGCCGTCAAAACCAGTGGTGGTTACTTTTTTTTTGGCAAAGTCGTAAGGAAGCTCTAGGAAATTTGCCAGTTTTAGCCAAAAGTCACTTAACAATAATATCTTTTGTTATTTGAACAATAACCTTAAATCGATTTTTGTTGTGGCAATGCAGTTGGACTGCGCTGCTATACCTCCTGGCTACGCCACTGTGAACCTGTGAGCACCTGTATAGTCCATCTGTTTGCGCTGACCCGTGAGCGTTCGGAGCCTCTTTGCCGATCTGCAACTGAAGCAGAAAGAGTGTGAGGAACGACCACATTTCACATCAAAGATTGCAGCGCCACAAGCAGCTTGCTCCTCTTTGCTTTGGCCTCATTTATGGAATCTCGGTCCGAGCATTTTTCAGTTGCCTAATTTTCCATGTCTGTTTTAGAACGCTAGACCTCAAATTTTCATTTTTCAAAAACGTTTTTTTTTCAATTGCCTCGCGGAAGTTAGTGGTTCCTAAAGGTCTAATTGCAGTCGTGCCTATTCGACACTTATCACAATGTGTTAAAGTGTCTTCCCCATTTTTTTCTTCCTATATGCATGCGTCGATGCAAAGAGAGGACGCACTCTATTCAATTCAATGGCTTCTTGACGTAGTGGCGTAATTTGTCTCAGTGCATGTTTGCTTTTATAGTAGGAACTAGAGCATCATTTATGTTTACTACGGCCCTCTATTTATTTCATGTTCGCACAGTCTTGCGCTGCCTTTTTAACACTGCCTATTAAGTCCACTTTTAGGAGTTCTGCCACACACCTCAATGTTCTTCTTTACGTTTAGAAAGGCATACATGAAGTTGAGTATAGTGGTGGCATAATTTGAATCTTCTAACGGCGATGCAGTGCCTACCATAATCCTGCTAGCTGACCGTTTCTGCTTGACCAGCGTTACTGAAATTCGTTTATCGCAAAGAATGCACGCAACTATTGACAATTGAGCACTAGGGGCATGAAAGACTTTTTACTTTGGGGAGGAAACTTATTTTCACAATAATTGGAAGTTTCTAAAGGTAGGAATAATTGATACAAAATTCACAAGTGACGCATTGTCATTTCATTTATTCTGGTGTCCATGGTTTAGAAAGTAGAGATGGGTGAGGGAGGGCATATAATTGCTTTGTTTTCCTTGTTCGATTTAGAGCGACCTGCCGCATGTAGCTGACCTAGGCCTAAAATTCACGTGCAATGCACCAACAGGATTCAGCAACAGTCCCGGTACTTTCAATTTCAAAGGACCTGAATCTTCCGCGTTTAGGCTCAGCTCAAACTTGTAGATCGTTTTGTACAGAACTGTCTTCATCGTCAACATAGCTAGCCTCTGGCCGAGGCAAACGTGGGATCCGAGACCAAAGGGAAAATAAGTAGATGATTGCACGCTCTGATTTGCAAACCTGTCGGGAATGAACTCGTCGGGATTCTGCCATATGTTTGGGTCTCTGTGAATGTGCCACGGTGGGGCGACAAGCGTTGTCCCGCGAGGAATGAACTGACCCGAAACTGTGGTGTCCTGGGCACATTCGCGCAGGATCATTACAGGCAGGGCGGGGTAGAGGCGCAGCCCTTCGCGTACCACCAAATCCAGACGTTCGAGGCTCAATATGTCGTCTGCTTCGAGATCGAAGTTGAAGGGCCTTTCTTGAGCTTTATTACAGTGTCCCGTGACCTTGTCGTCTGGCCGTGTTTTGTCAATTGCTCTGGGATCTATTTGACTCGACGTTCTTCTGTGTGTTTTATGCGTTTCTTGTCTATGAGGAGGTTCCTTTTCGGGAAGCATTTTAATTATATCTGGCGGCTGTTCTGGTGCCTGCTTGTGGTCCTTGTTGTCACTATCTCCTTTCACAACTTCCAAGCTTTTTGTTTTGGCCAACACCTCGGCGCGAATCTTCTCTTGTTCTTCGGGGTGTTTCGCTAACAAATAGAGCAAGAAGGCCAACGAAGAAGAGGTGCTATCGAAGCCGACAGCTAACAGCATGATCAGGTTAGCCAGCAGAGTGCTTTCGTTGAGGGAACGGGCATACCGTCTCGTTTTTTCCGTGGCACCTTCGTCTGTCGTTTGGAGGTCGATCAGGTTCTGAAGCACATCTTTCTTTCGAGGTGCACTGGGACTCTTTCGCCAGTTAAGAACTTCGAGCACGTCCTTCGAGATTTTCTCCATGCTCTTGCAGAAGTCTGTGAACGGATAGACGCATCGGAGTGCGGCGCGCAGTAACGGAAAGGCAAACACGCTCTCGATCGCGGTGTCGTCCATTTGCTGGAACACTGTGCAAAGTCGAGTGACGGTGGGGTTGTCCTCGTCCATTTGGAAGTTCACCTGCATAAGCGCAAATGTTGCTTGCAATTAGTCATACCGTAAAGACGACTGTGATTTTTTACTATGCTCGGAAATAGATTAGCATCGTAGAAAAACAGCTAGCCAGTTGGTAGTGGTTCGTTATGAGAAGAAAATTCAGGCATGGTGTTGTGCATGTTCACGTACGTACACCAGATATAGCTTCGAAGGTCCACTGACGGTGAAAGGCTTGTAAGATGATGATGATGATGCACCTTGATACTCTGGTGCATATTCACAAAGGGGGATCGGCCAAGAACCGGACGGCAGGATCTTAAGTAAAAGGCTTATGGTTTTTCAAACACAACGTAATTTTGGACTAAAAATATATAGAAAGAAAAGCCAAAAATCGAAAAAGGAGTATATCTGAGCACGGAGCGATGCAGGCTATCAGATGCGATTGAGACAGAGGTAATGGTGGGTCTAAAACGAATAATATATATATACATATATATATACACACACACACACACACACACACACACACACACACACACATATATATATATATATTTATATATATATAATATATATATATATATATATATATATATATATATATATATATATATATATATAGTGGGAGTAATAATTCAATGGGCCAGTTAGTCTTCGTGAAGGTATGGGATATGGCACAACGGGAGCGTTGTCAACAAGGATAAATATATATATATATATATATATATATATATATATATATATATATATATATATATATATATATATATATTATTCGTTTTAGACCCACCATTACTCTGTCTCAAATCGCATCTGATAGCCTGCATCGCTCCGTGCTCAGATACACTCCTTTTTCGATATATATATATATATATATATATATATATATATATATATATATATATATATATATATATATATATATATATATAGAGAGAGAGAGAGAGAGAGAGAGAGAGAGCCACGGGAGCGGCCGCGTCAGCAGCACGTGTAAGTGAGCTCTGCACATATCTGCCTATAACTTTAGCAATTTTGGTTTTAGGAGGGTCAGAGTGGTGTCTATTTGTTCGTGAAGATACAAGGAGTTCAACCGCTGCAAATGCTGCTATTACAAACGAAAATTTTAAAATTTAGGACCGGAAAACAGTGTGAATCTGTGAAAACAACAACAGTCAGACCACGTGTTTTTTACGATCGCTTGTAGCATCGTTAATATTCTACCGGGAAACTTCTTACTTATAAAGTTGAAAGTCCTTAGGTTAAACCTGACGCTACTGAAGTTTGATCAGGCTAGGTTTAATAGTTCCAGAGTTATTCTGCAATCAAAATTAAGCCTAATCACTAAAAAAATTAAATTGGTAATATCACCTCGAAAACGCATTTAAATTTTGTCCGCTTATTATAATAATAAACCGCACCCCGTAGGCTACCAGGAGGCCCAATTCCGTACACTGTAGGCCCTTAATTAAGGTGGTAATCAGCAAAAAGCTCATTTCATTAAAACACAATTTCAAAAGGAGCTACAAACGCCACCAAAAATAGCTGCTATCTTCTTTTAGAACACAACAGTGCGGGTTTTTCCGTGTAAAAATAATTTTGATAGCTTAAGGCAACCGGAGGATACAGAGTTAGAAAGAATATAACAAAAACCGCTAATAAACGTGTGGCGCCCGTGTCTTCCCTCGCTCAGAGGAGGAGGGTGGCTCACTTCTCGGGAGAGAGGTACGCCCGTTAGATCAAAGTCTTGAACCACGTGTTTTTTTTTCTTTTTTTTTCTTACGATCGCTTTTAACTTTGCTAATAACCTACCGGGAAACTTCTAACTCATACAGTGCAAAGCCCTAATTGTAGACCTGTCGCCACTCAGGTTTCATCAGGACAGGAGTAATAGTACCAGAACTATTTCGTGACCAAAATTAATCCTTATCACTGAAAAAGATTAATTTGGTAACATCACCTCACAAACGAATTTAAATTTTGTCCGCTTAATATATAAACAGCACCCCATAGGCTAATTGGAGGCCCAACTCCGTACTCTCTAGACCCTTAATTAAGGGGGTAATCAGCAGAAATCTCATTTCAATAAAACATTTTTATAAAAACAACCACAAACTTGACTGATACACCGCTGAAACCTACATTTAGAACATAACAATCCGGGTGCGGCGATAGCATAGTGGTTAGAGCATCCGCCTCGCATGCAAGAGGTCCGTGGTTCAAATCCCGGTGCCGCGCAGTTCCCAACCAGAAAAAAAAATCCGCGTGTTGATGGAACTGCATTACGAGGCCTGAGGTGCGGCCTCACCGGTAACCACCGCCGGGAACGCACTCCCTCACCAGAGAAGGATTGGCCACCCTGGTGCAGTATCTGGCCACTACCTCCCACATGCATACGTCAAATAACTCACGGCCCTCAGTTCCCAGCAGCTGCGAAGCAACTGACCATGGCGGCGGTCCGATCTGCAACGCAGCAGAGGGTGCTAAGAATCTCTGGACTACAGGCCGCCTTTGGAACCTGAACTTGGGAACGTTTAGCGCTAGAACCTTATCTAGTGAGGGAAGTCTAGCTCTACTATTCGAGGAGCTAGAGGGTGTTCAATGAGATATAATAGGGCTCAGTGAAGTTAGGAGGACAGGTGAGGCCTATACGGTGCTACATAATGGGCACGTCTTTTGCTATCGGGGCTTGGCTGACAGAAGAGAACTGGGAGTGGGGTTCCTAATTCACAGAAACATAGCTGGCAACATAGAGGAATACTATGGCTATAATGAAAGAGTGGTAGGTATTGTAATTAAACTGAATAAAAGATACAAGATGAAGGTAGTACAGGCTTACGCGCCTACATCCAGCCATGATGACGCTTCAGTTGAAAGCTTCTATGAAGACGTGGAATTGGCAATGAGTAAGGTAAAAACACAGTATACTATAGTGATGGGCGACTTTAATGCAAAGGTAGGGAAGAAGCAGGCTGGAGACCAGGCAGTAGGAGATTATGGCATCGGCACTAGAAACGCCAGAGGAGAGCTACTAGTAGAATTCGCAGAACGCAATAATTTGCGGATTTTGAATACTTTCTACCGAAAACGAGAAAACCGCAAGTGGACATGGAGGAGCCCTAATGGCGAAAATAAGAACGAAATAGACTTTATAATGACTGCACACCCAGGAATCGTGCAGGATGTGGAAGTGGTTGGCAAGGTACAATGAAGTGACCATAGAATGGTACGGTCTGGAATTCGCCTAGACTTGAAGAAGGAACGACAGAAACTGATACGCAAGAAGCCAATCAATGAGCTATCACTCAGAAGGAAAGTACAGGAATTCAGAGTGTCGCTGCAGAACAGGTACTCGGCTCTTAGTGAGGAAACCAACCTTAGCGTAGATACAATGAATGATAATCTAACGAGTATCATTACGGAGTGTGCAATGGAAGTTGGAGGCCGGGTAGTTAGACAGGACACTGGCAAGCTTTCCCAGGAAACGAAGAACCTAATTAAGAAGCGTCAAAGCATGAAAGTGTCAAGTACAACAGACAAAATAGAACTGGCAGAGCTTTCAAAGTTGATTAATAGGCGTAAAGTATGCGATGTGAGATGGCATAACATGGAGAGAATTGAACACGCTCTGAAAAACGGAGGAAGCGTCAAAGCAGTGAAGAGGAAACTTGGGATAGGCAAAAGTCGGACTTTTGCACTAAGGGACAAAGAAGGCAAAATAACTACCAATATGGATAGGATAGTTAAAATAGCGGAGGAGTTTTACAGAGATCTGTATAGTAGCCGAGACAACCACGACCTTAATACTATAAGAACTAGCAGTAACCCAGATGACACCCCACCAGTAATGATAGACGAAGTCAGAAAAGCTTTGGAGAGCATGCAAAGAGGCAAAGCTGCTGGTGAGGATCAGGTAACATCAGATCTGCTGAAAGATGGAGGACAGATTGTGTTAGAAAAACTAGCCACCTTGTTTACGAGGTGTCTCCTGACGGGAAGGGTACCAAAGTCTTGGAAGAACGCTAATATCATCTTAATACATAAGAAAGGAGATGACAAGGACTTGAAGAATTACAGGCCGATCAGCTTGCTCTCTGTAGTATACAAGCTATTTACAAAGATAATTGCTAACAGAGTAAAGAAAACATTAGAATTCAATCAACCAAAGGAACAAGCAGGATTTCGAACAGGCTACTCAACAATCGTCCACATTCATACTATCAATCAGGTAATAGAGAAATGCTCAGTGTATAACCAACCACTAAACATAGCCTTCATAGATTACGAGAGGGCGTTTGATTCAGTAGAAATATCAGCCGTCATGCAGACACTGCGGAATCAGGGCGTAGATGAAGTATATATAAACATTCTGGAAGAAATCTACAGGGGATCAACTGCTACCATAGTGCTTCATAAAGAAAGCAACAGAATACCAATCAAGAAGGGTGTAAGACAGGGGGACACAATCTCCCCAATGCTATTTACCGCGTGCTTACAGGAGGTTTTCAGAAGCCTAGAATGGGAACAGTTAGGGATAAGAGTCAATAGAGAATACCTTAGTAACCTGCGCTTCGCCGATGACATTGCATTGCTGAGTAACTCAGGGGACGAATTGCAACTCATGATTACGCAGTTAGACAAGGAGAGCAGTAAGGTGGGTCTTAAAATTAATCTGCAGAAAACGAAAGTAATGTACAACAACCTCGAAAAGGAGCAGCGCTTCAAGATAGGTAATAGTGCACTTGAAGTTGTAAAAGACTATGTCCACTTAGGGCAGGTAATAACCGCAGAGCCTAACCACGAGATTGAATTAACTAGAAGAATAAGAATGGGGTGGAGTACATTCGGCAAGCACTCTCAAATTATGACAGGTAGATTGCCACTATCCCTCAGGAGGAAGGTATATAACAGCTGTATCTTGCCAGTACTTAGCTACGGAGCAGAAAGCTGGAGACTTACAAAGATGGTTCAGCTTAAATTGAGGACGACGCAGCGAGCAATGGAAAAAAAATGGTAGGTGTAACCTT